AACAAACCGATACACATTCACATATGTTACTTATCGAGATTAGTATTTGTTTAAATGGATCCAGACGGAGCTTTGGTGTGAGAGATATATAGTTAGCTGTCTTCATACTTATGTCGGACATACAACTACTTCCTTACCAAGCCGGCTGACTCTCCAAATTCTTATTTTGGATTTTGGTCGTGGAAGTACTGCGTTTGGTAAGTGGACTGAACCGAGAACGTTACACCCCACTCTCCGTTTAGAGCCTTTTAACTTTAAGATTAGATCATCAGAAAAAGTGAACATCTATTTTTTATGGACACTCCATCTAAAGAAGACCGTAAAATGAAACGTCTAGAACATTAAAAATAATGTTAAATTGTTCCAATAAATAGAAGTGGTATATATATTTTATGAAAGTAAATATATATATATATATATATATATATATATATATATATATATATATATATTTATGTGTGTGTGTGTGCGTGTGTGTGAAAGTATATATATATAACAACAAAGATACATTTAATACATCAATATTTAAAAAGCCAACAAGTAAAAAACTCTTGCTTCCTAAACTTGCATAGCCAATGTCCGGATAAATATAAAATAGCCCTAATCAAAAACTTAATCAATAAAGCTTTTCATATCTCCTCATCTAGAACAATATTTTACAAAGAAATCAACAATATAAAACACTCATAAATAACAATTTCCCCAATAAATTAGTTGATCAACATATATAACACTACCTTTCAAATATTTATAAGAATAACAAAGAAAACAGACAAACAACAATAACACTATTAAGCTTTTGTATAAAAATCAAATGCACAGCAACTAAGAACTCGATGAACTGACTATAACTAACACCACCCACAGATACCCTAAACCCGTCCAACAACAGAAACAAATAAAATTAATAATATACGACACTAAATTGAAAACATTAAAACTAATCTTCCGAAATAAAACTACCCCCAAACCGTTCTTCAATAAAACCAATGTAATGTATAGGTTTACTTGCCCATTTCGAGAATGTTTCTCGCATAATAACCCTAGCATATACATTGGACACACAACCACAACTCTCTCACATAGGCTTACATACCACCTTAATGACACCAGCTCCATAAACAATCATCTTCCAACAATACACAGCGCCACTAGTAATACATTCAAATCATGTAAAATAAGAAAAATCTTAATAACACCAAAATCCTCTATAAAGACAATTGCAAAAGAACGACTACAAATTCTTGAAGCCATCCTAATTAAAAACAAAGAACCCAACATAAATAAAATAGCATTTAATACTGGCAGAAACATCTTAAACATATTTAATAACTAATCCTCCAAATAATAAACATCAACCCCCACCTTTTTATTAATAATGAACTAATCCAACAATATTGTCTAAATGCCCAAAATATTATCTATAAAATTAAAATAATAACTTATTTTCAAATCATAACATACGCCATAACGACGGCTGACGATAAACAAAAGTACACGACAAAAAACCATGGACTAGGGTCTTATTTCAACAACTTAGACCCAAATATTAAAAAACTTGCGAGAAAGCAAAATAAAAACATTATCAAACGGAAAAATTCCATAGTTTTTAACAACACATGCCTAAATGTGTATATATATATATATATATATATATATATATATATATATATATATATATATATATATTTCATCCCAAGCAAGGCGGACATGCCACTAGAGCGCAGGAAGTTACAGGGAGTGAAAGTGAGAGAAAAGAGTATAGGGAGGATTGAGGAAAGGACAAAAGATGAATGGGATTCAAGAAGATAGAAGGTGGCGATTGACGTTGCATTTAAATTTTTGAAGATTGTAATTATCAGGGAAGCAAGTAAACGGAAGGGTGTTCCACTGACGGGAAGTTCGAGAAAAGAAAATATATAAGCTTTTGTTATATATACCCCCCACGTGTAAAAGTATATAATAAAGTATTTGAAAAAGCAATTGCATTTTTTTCAGAATAATTATTAAGCGTAACTCTAAATATCTAAAGTTACTCTAAATATATGTTCTTAAACACTCCAGTTACATTTTCAATTTCTTTTTCATATATATATATATATATATATATATATATATATATATAACTGGACCATAGCTGAAATTAAGCGAATGGACGCCAAAACGTGAAAGCTTCTCACTTGCTACTGCATGCATAATCCCAAAGCTGATTTTGATCGTCTGTATGTGCCCAGATCCGAAGGAGGCAGAGGATTACTTAAACTAGAACTGTTCTACAAAACTATAACAACTGGAAACTACAGAAGACTGGATGATGTTATGTGTCAAAGAACATGAAAGTAGTAAGCGTCTAAAGGAAGCCAACAAATTTAAAATGGAGTTTCAAACTGGCGCAGAAATACAAATAAAGCACAACACACCGGCTGAAGCTGCAAAATACTTAAAAAAAGAAAGCAAAGACAAATGCAACCGACCTGATACAGAAATAATAGCAAGATAAACCGCTTCATGGCCAATACTCTGCCCGTACCAAACAAGCTGACGTAGACAAAACCTGTACCCATCGGTGGCTACGTAGTGCAGGGTTGAAAGCTGAAACTGAAGGTTTTATTCTTGCTGCACAGGACCAATGCTTGTTAACTAGAAATTATCAAGCACATATACTAAAATATTGTGTTAGCCCCAAATGCAGATTCTGTGATAAATATCCAGAAACAATTGATCATCTAGTATCAGGTTGCACGATATTGGCATCCACTGAGTATAAAACACGGCATGACAGAGTGGGCAATATCTGCACAGGAAAATATGCAACTTCTACGGGAAGGAAACTGAAAGAAACTGGTATGAACACCATCCAGACCCGATTACGGAGATAGAACCTGTTACAATTCTATGGGACTACACAATATACACTGACAGATCAAAGCCAACCGCCCAGACATTAAAGACCACAAACAAAAAACGTGCCTCCTTATTGATATAGCAGTCCCTGCAGACTGCAATGTATCTTTGAAGATATTCAAAAAGCTGTTAAAATACAAGGAGCTTGAAATAGAAATCTCAAAAATGTAGCACAGTGGAGCATCAACAATCCCTGTTGTAGTTGGAGCCCTAGGACTGGTTGGAAAAGATTGCAGTAGACTAATTGAAGGGATTCCTGGAAGTCCATGCCTCAAGGAGATACGAAAAATTGTTCTCATAAGTACAGCCCACACTTTACGAAGGGTTTTATCTATGCATTTTTTTTTGTCAGTGGAAAGTGTCATGATGCCATTTCTAACCTTAGGTCCCTAGGCGGGACCCGGAAAGAAATATATAAACGCCAGAAATCAAAGGAAATAAAAAAATAACAATAAAAGAATAAACTCATTACTGCATCAAGTTTCATAAAATATTTTTGCCTTTTGTTTCTAACCTTTCTGGCGATTAGCGATCATGGGACTTATCGGATTTTAAATTTTAGGTCACCCCTCTCTAAAAACATGGGACGAGATGCACTAATGGGCTAAATGGAATTAGCATCTAAACAAATCATTTTATTGCTGAGAATTGAAGTTAATTAAACTAGAGAAGTTATGAAACTTTAAACTCAAGAATATCAGCCTCTATCACCTCCGAACAGTTGAAAAACGGGTTGTCTACGCAACATTTCATAGTATCTATGATCTGCTGGGCAAGTTGCGTACGTATATCGTTATATATCCAGAAGATTTCCAGGAATGTGAACAGTTGAGGGTGTGGCAATTTAACGAAGACTCCACCATATCACACTCCACACTTTTACACTGAATACATTGTTTCATACACGAACTCAGCCGTCTGAAAGAACTAGAAACGTGACTCCTCTGACCAGCTGATATGAATAACTGTCTTACACGATACAGTGGTAATGAATATGGTCTAATGAGGAAAAGAACGCCATGACACAATTCACTCCACCAGAAATTCAACACGGAAACCTACATCTAATGTCTTGAGGAGCTAGTGCTGCCCTGAGTCAAGAGGGTGGCTGCTGGAAGACCCTATGTCTGGCAACACAACTCTGCGCCATGACAGGAGGGCACAACCATGGCTGTCAGACAATTTCTGCGACCACATCTCCTCTTGCATCTGGCCACATAGCTCCCCAGACTGCACCCCTTTAATTATTATGTGTGAAACGCAGTTAAGCGAGAGACCAACAAAACTCCTTGTAATAGCAAAGATGTACTGAAGGTAACGATTATGGCAGCAACTAACTTAAAGAAGGGAAACGTCTAGAAGAATTGCAGAAGATTCCGAAGTCGTCTGGAGGTCGTGGTTGAAGACAATGTCGATTTTTTAAAAATAAATTTACTCTTTAGTATTTCAAGATATTTTTTGTGTATTTTTGGTAAATATATCTGTTAAAATGAAATGTCAGTGTTATTTTCATTTTTGCGTTATTTAGATGACAATTTATCCATTACACCCTGTGCTTGTGTATTGGTGTGTATTTGTGTGTATTTGTGTGTATTTGTGTGTATCCAAACGTTACATTTTTTTTAATTTCTTTTACTCTGAAATCACTTCCTCAGCAAAGCATCTTTTCATACCAGAAATTTTTTACAGCCCACTGACACGCGTTCAAATCTTTACCGTATTTAGTACTGTTGAAGTTATTGCAAGGTGGAGTAATGGATAGCGGCTCGGATTGAGAAATCGGAGAGCCGATTTCAAATTCCAGTCGAATCCATTACATTTACTTACGTGGTAATACCCTTGGGAAAGGTATAAATCCTCTTCTCCCGCCCCCACCAGCTATGGGTAAACATACCTGGTTCTGTAGCCTTGGGTGGCAACTAGTCTACCGCAGAAAGAAATGGCAACCTACTGCGGGAAAAAATCTGTCTCGTCAGTCATGTGCCGAAAGATACATGATCGCCTAAGCGTGTATCATGCATGGCACATGACTGACTTATATATATATATATATATTCATTCAAACAGGCAACATACATGTTATACAACTTATTATGTTGAAACACCGGTTCTCGTACGATCATCGAAGTTAAGCAACATCTAGCCTGGTCAGTACATAGACGGGTGACCGCTTGGAAATACCATGTGCTATATTGCTTGCATGTGTGGATGACCACTCAGAATTGGAAATCGAAAGATACATGATCGCCTAAGCGTGTATCCCGCATGGCACATAACTGACTGACGTTATCGCTAACATATTTGTCGAGATTTACAAACTCTATGTTTCATTCAATAAAAGAAAATCCCCCCCACCACCAATTAATGAAAATTTATTGTACTAAGCTACGTATCCCCGCAAAAAACAACTATACTTTGTACCCACTTACCAAAATTTGGTTTCGATCGGTCAATGTATGATTATTTTAGGGGGTTTGTCGGACGGAGGGATGGACGGACTAACGGGAATCCCAGAATTTTATATGTAGAAGGTCAAATGATCTCGCTATGTTGATGTTGCCCATACAACAACAGTTCTTCTGGAAAAGGTCCCGAAACAAAGTACTGATTCCAGCTAATATGTGTACACATTTCAGTCACCCATACGTAAGAAAAAAACATAAACATTTACCCATAATATAGGTATACATAGATTATCTCATAAACTGTATGACACACACAGAAACACGTTAAAAGTATACGTACACGCAAGTGCACACATGTACAACAATAAAAATGAAACACATATATGCACAAACATTTTACAAATCTAGTCATGAATATGCATTTATAGTTGCACATAAGACAATGAGTTGAATAGCATAATAGTTACATACTAAGGTTAGCCCTGATGGGATGCTTTTAGTGTTTGACTCGGAATTTCAGCGATTTTATTTTTCAAGAAAAGATATTAACCTCTATTTCTTCCAATTCAAAGCCATTTTATGCATGCGCACAAACTGGAATCAAATTTCTTCGACGTCAGTGCATTTGTATACATGTAAAACCAACGATATTTGTGATGATAAGTTTAATGCACACGCGTAGAATCATCAGCGAACAAAGGCAATAAAGCAAAGTATTAGACAAATATTCCGAGGAGAAATAAATGTAGTCACGCCCGCACACGCGCATGCGCGCACGCTCGTGCACACACACACACACACACACATACACACACACACTCCTACGCAGTCTTGGGAAGAAGCCAGTTTGCAGAGTTCCACTCCTAATGCATATATTAATAAAATAAACGCAAACAGACGTTTTCGATTTAAACGGCACAGCAAAATTTTACAAAGAGGTTTAAGACGAACAAAGACAAAACTGCAAGGAAATGCTGACAACTGAAAACGTTAAATCTGTTTTGTTATTATTTTGTTTTGTTGCGAGAATAGAAATTAAAATTTAAAGTTCTTTTCTCAACCCCACAGTGACTTGAAATATAAGTACTAATCATCGACGACAACCAGCGGCGCATTCTTTGTGATTCTTGTCTATATCTTAGAGTAATTCCCGAGTGATCAGTCTATCAATGTGTTCTTTTCGGGGAACAACACCCACTAACAATGACAGGCGCATGCGCCCACAGAGTGATACATTGAGGAACAGTCACACATATGCACAGGAAAAATGTAGAAAACAGTAGAACAGACAGATTAGTATTCATAAAGATTGAAATTAATGTCTACCGACTTAGAGTTCGAAAGTTCTGCTAAAGAAACCGTACCACATCATAAGAATCGAACCAGTATTCCATTTTTCAGTCACTGTAACCACTTTTTAAGCTTACCACGAGGACACAGGGAGCCATCGTAGCAAAACAATGCACAACTACTCTAACAAATGCTCGTATCTGGTTGTGACATTTCAAAATCAATATCCATTAACTTCATTTTCAAACCTGAAATGTAAATAAAGAATTTTTTTTAGCAATTAATGAATCATTATTTTAATTCGACAATATTTGTTATTACTATGTATATCATACTTAGTGGCTTCACGTTTTTGACTGTGCATATTTGTTTCTTAAGCAGTGGGATTAATGTCTACCAGCCTAGAGAGCGAAGATCTTAATAAACAAAATGTGTTTCTTAACCGGAATCGAAATAGTCTTAAGCTAAGTGTGCATTACAATTAGAACACGGGAAGTTATCATAGCAAATCAATGCTCAGTTATCCTATTTAATAGATGCACATCTGAAATCATTTTAAGTCTATAGCTTTAATTTTATTTTTGTACACGAAATATGAACAATGTAATTTTTCATGCAATTAATGTTTTTTTTTTTAGTAGACATCATTGCTTTTATAACAGTGAAATTAATATCTACCGGTTTAGATATCGAAAGTCGTATTAATGAAAGTGTGCCTCCCGACCTGTAATCCATTTTCAATCTGAAAAAAACCAACTTCAGGGAAAGCATGCTTTACCGTAAAGCTACGAGAAAGGTCAATTACCATATTTAAGAAATTCACCTTTTGATGTACGTATATCAACTGACTTCATTTTCCTAGCCGAAAGTAATTTAAAGCAATCAATGAAAATTTTTAATCCGAAAAAATTTCATATATTTAAAAAAAAAAATTTCATTCAATGAAAGGAAATAAAGCCACTAAGATGCAAGATGTTACTCGGTATGAGAGAATGAGAGAAAAAAAACACTATTAAGAAGAGAGGACAATAAAAGAATATGATTTAAGAAGACAGAAGATCAAAGTTGGCTGGAAGGCAAGAAGCTAAAAGAGAGTTACACAAACGAGAAGAGCGAGAGAAGAAACTATTAGCATAGAACTTACGGTTACATCTAAGCATTTAAACTGTAGAATGGTGAGACCTTGCCACCAATCTAGCACTGCACTTAAACTGCCATAATTGAGAAATGCGAGAAGGGCAAAACTATTAGCATAGAACTTATGGTTATATCGAGCAATTTCAACTGTAGAATCCATTTTATACCTGTAATTCATTTTATCATATAAAATAAAACGCATTAGTTCAAACTCTAACAAATAGACACGACACAGATAGACACGACACAGATAGACACCAAAGAGATAGACACGACACAGATAGACACCAAAGAGATAGAACTAAAACTGGAAGTGTGTATTGATTTTCCAAGCGTATTTTAGACGCGGCACAAGGCCGAAGGTATGGGGGCAGCCAGTGAGGATAGAAGTCACTACTCAGTCGTAATTGTTCTAGCGATACAAGCTTGCTAACAATTACACCACATAGATGCTCCATATATAGTGATTTCCCAAGCGTAGCTCAGATGTGGTACAAGACCGAAAGTATGGGGCACCCAGTGAGGATCGAACTCACTACTCTGTCGTAATTGTCCTAACGAGACAAGCTTGCTAATCATTACACCGCCGCGTTGTGCCCAAATTGGAAGTGTATATATGTTCATTAATTTGTTTGTTTAACGGCTATTCAACTCCTTATGGGGCTTTTAATGCCGAAACTTAATTTTCTTGGGAGCTTTGAAGTAATAAAAATATGATATACGTTATTCTGCTTTCGCAACTAAATACATGGTAGATAATACTCAGCTTTTGTACATATACATGTTAGTGTGGAAATGATTATTAGAGGTGGTGTTGTGCGTGTTTTATGATGAAATCATTTTGGAATAGAGTTTGATTTCTTTAAGAAATTATAGGATATTATATGGACTAATGTAATGAAAGATTTCTTTCATATTGGTTGTTTGTTTGGTTGATTTTGTTTGGTGGCATATCAACACCTCTATGGGTTATTTAAATTGCCGAAATGTAAATATTTTGTACATAATTTTCTGCTTTCAGAGTAAAGGTATATATATATATATATATATATATATATATATTGTAGATCATAAAATGTATTGTTGGTAATTTTACTATAAAAATGTATTTTTATATTTTTTAGTGTTGCATTAATTGCTTTTTTGCTATAAAAAAGTATTGTTGGTAATTTTATTATAAAAATGTACTGTTGATTTTTGTTTGTGGGCTGCCTATTTGCCCATCACTGGGACCCTAACAAGTGCTACCACCCCGGGTCAAAGTGAACATGGGGACTGCGGCAATTAAGAGGTGGTTCTGTGCTCCTCAAAACCTTCAATCTCTCGATCAGAGGCCTTGCTGCCGGGTGTAGTTTATCGTCATACCCAGGACCATGTTTTGGAGAAAATATCTTGTGACATTCAATACTTCCAAGACCAAGCGAGTAATGTTTGATCATCACAGAGTAGACACCAGCAAACATGAACGGCTGTATTATCCATGATTCTGACATCTATTGGGTCTCAAGTTCAATCCAGACGTCTAATCAGTTATGTGCCATACGTGATACAAAGTGAACATGGGGACCACAACAATTAAGATGTGATTCCACGCTTCTCAAAACCTCCAATCTTCGATCAGAGGCCTTGCTGTCGGATATATGTTATCCTCATACCCAGCGCGAGGAAGTGTATATATATCAGGGAATGGTAACTTGGTGCCGGCTATTTTAATGAGAAAAGAAAGAAACTTCAGAGCCAGACATCACCTTGCAATAATACAATTTGAAGAAATCAGAATGATTATTTGAGGCGAAAACATTATAAAATAATATTTATTAAACTCGAGTAAATACAATGAATACGTAATTGAAATATTAATAAGTGTTTGTTCAGCACAATGCTTAAAGTTGGTTTTAACACGTTTCATATTAACATGTAAAGAAAGAACGGCGGTTGTGTAGCTTGATTTCATGCATCATTGTCACCATATCGTTTCGGACACAGATCAGATCCTGAATCTTTTCTAATCAAATTAATTGCACTGTCGTTGGAGCTACATGATTTGAATGTCTAATAGGACTCAAAATTATGCCAAACTTCAAGTGGATCTATTGCTAAATGAGCTTGGAAATTGTCTACACATTCCGTTGCTCAAGGACAATGTTTTTCAACATTCTTTTATCTCACGGTACACTTGAACCTATAGTTAAACTTAACTATGGCTCACAGCACATTTGAACCTATAGTTAAACTTAACTATGGCTCACGGCACACTTGAATTTATAGTTAAACTTAACTATGGCTCACGGCACACTTGAACCTATAGTTAAACTTAACTATGGCTCACGGCACACTTGAATTTATAGTTAAACTTAAC